ATGTAATTTGTGCCTTAAAGTAATGAAAACAAATGCCAACATATTAAATATGGCATCGCATATGAACACTATGAAACTTAATGATGCTTAATAAAATATATTTATTCTTATTATTCTTATTTTTTTTGGACAGATAAATAAATTTTTGTGGGAAAAAGGTTAAAAAAAATAGAAAAATATTTATATATCTATATAAAAAATTACATACAAAATATCATGCTGATACTTTTTCAAAACTTAAAATATCATCGATACGATATTTTAAAAATATTCGTGAACTCTTATGTATAGCCCTGCACAATCATTGTCTACCTGTTGACTATAGACTAAGTTAGCTGAGATATAGGTATGCTTCTCTGAAAGTGAGAGAGAGAGAGGGAGAGAGATAAAAATCGGTGCGTGCATAGTATTGGATAATATTGATGGAGTGAGCTGTTAGCTAACACTAACTAGGCAGCCAATCTGCAGAAATATCGATCTCATATATATATATATATATATATATATATGAGATATATAATATATATATATATATATATATATATATAATAAAAAAAAAAGTATATAAAAGTATATACTTTTTTTTATATAAAAGTATATTCTCTTTTTTTATTATACGTTAAAGTTTTTCGCAATAATTTGTTTTTGTATAATTAAATAAATATCCTCTACTATTTAGTTAATTTGTTGGTTGTGTTAAAATACGTTTAAAAAATTAAAAAATTGTCATAAAGCTTAAAAACAGGAACAGCAAAGAAGAGTTATAAACTTTAAAAACTTAAGACTAAAAAAAAAAAAGAAATTATTTTTTTATTTTTTTCCTTAAAAAAAAAAGATCAATTTGTATTTTTTTGTAAACTAAATTATTTGTAATTATTATAAATAATTTATATGATTAAAAATACAAAATAATTAGTATAGATCCATTTTCATATATAAAAATCAAATCATAATTCTTATGTTCCGTTTTTATAATCGTTACGGTCCCCGCTTAAAATGCTTGCTCCGCTAATAATTTAGTTCGTCTCTGTATATATAGTACATATCCGTATGCTCCATGTATAAAGCAGCATTGAATGCTGTCTGCCTGTTAGCCATAGAGTGCTATGTCAGCTGGGAAGAGCTCCAATAGCTGAACTTGCTGCAGTGTTGCATATGTATAGAGGTTTATGTGGGTCTACAGGCACGGCTACCTTCTATAGACACGTAAAATACCTCGCCAGTGCCAGGGCGTAGGTCATAAAAGTTGCTGCCGCCGGCTGCTGGCAGCCAGGACTAAGCCGTTTAAGCGTTCCGGCACAAAGTGTTAAGTCCTGTGTGGCCCACATTGAATATTTCAATGCTTTATAATTAGATTTTATGCGCAAGAGATGAGCTGTCGTCAGCACGTTTAGATGTAGACTAAATATATATATATATATATATATATGTATATATTGTAGTTGCTTGAAAGCCAACAGTTGGGGTTTTGGCTTATTTGATTTTGGGTTTTATTGAATGCCGAGTTTTACGTAATGGATTTTGTTTTATGTAATTGCTCGAGTTTTATGCTCGGCCCGTTAAGCCTTTGGCTGACTTACCTGGCTGCACGCATAAATCAAATGCGGCACCAAATTATAATGGCTAAGATCAGATTGTTATCTGCAGTCGCCGTGACATGTTTACAGCCAGCTGCCCGGCGGCAATGCGCCTTACTTTTATTTGAATACAATGTTTAGCTTTTCTTCTCTCTCTCCCTCTCTCTCTCTCTCTCTCTGTTGTCCTTTTGTGGGTCTACGAGAATGCTGGCAGCTCCTCTGGTTACATCTGGCGTATGCGCAACCGTAATAAATCTGCGATGTCTGCCTAACAAATGCGAAATGTTAGACATAAAATGAAAGCCATGTTATGAATGTGGCTACACTCGTTCAGTCCACATTCACAACTCTGTCCACAGTTCCCAGCTCCCACTCCAATCCCCAACCCTGTCCCTGTCTCTGTCTCTTTTTCAATCCAAATCGAGATTTGAGTCCCTTGTGTCTTATCTCTGTACGCAGCGCATTGTTTCAACAGCTCGGCTTCCGTTGGAAAATGAAAAGCTGATTGTTTTCCATGCTAATCGCATTGGTAAGCAATCGAGCATTTACTTCGATTGTAAACGGTGCTGCCCTTTGTGCGCCTGCTGAATGATTAGCCAGCGATTGTCCGAGCCAAATGTTTATTTATGGGAATTAGCCAGCCTCGCTTACACTACGATTGCTGGCAGTTCGATTGTTGAAATTCTTTGATTGGGTGACACTTTGATTGAAGCTCAATAAGCATCGATTAGCTTATTGAGAGCTCGACAATTGTTTCAATAAGCGAGTCTCTGTTAATAACGGTAGCTCATGGGCGAAAGGTCAATTAGCCAATTGATATATCATAGCAGATTTCTTATCACAAGATTTTAGTTTCGAATTGATTGAGAATCATTTTGATTGAAGCTTAACAGCTTGTTAACAGCTTGAGAATAGACAAACTATGCTAAATGCTGTCTGGTTTTTTTTTTTTATCAAATGCAAGTGATTGATGACTTATAAATTGATTGACTGATTGATTGATTGCTGGATTGTTTGATAGATAATTAGGACTTTGTTTTTGGTTCATAATAATTTTTAGTTTGCGCATATTCAGAAAATATATTTTATGATACATCATGATACATGATGTATTGATTGAGATTAATTTTGATTGAGGCTTATTGTTTAGCTCATTAGCAGTGTAAAAGATGATCTATGACTAAATGTTGGTCAGCTTATTTTAAGAAGAGCAAGTGATTGATGAGACATTCATTGATTGATTGATTGCTGGAATATTTGGTAGATGGAATACATAATTTTGACTTTGTTTTTGGTTCACAATAACTTGGTTTAGTCAGTAAATGGATTTTATGATACATCATGATGTATTGATTGAGATCAATTTTGATTGAGGCTTATTCTTTAGCTCATTAGCAGTGTAAAATTTGACAAATTAATCTAAATGTTGGTCAGCTTACGTTAACAAAAGCAAATGATTGATGAGTCATTGATTGATTGATTGACTGATTGATTGCTGAAATATTTGGTAGATGGAATACATAGTTTAGACTTTCTATATATGATTCATGGTAACTCTTAGTTTGCAGCTACTCAAGGAGTCTATACATCATGCATGATGTATTGATTGAAAAGCGTTGTTGCTCATTGCTGATTGATGGCTTGCTTAGGTATACCATCAGGGCAGATTCCTGCGATTCGCATAAGTAGATATAACAGTAACAAGTAATTAAATGTCATTTAATTGATAGATTGTGATCATTATCATCATTAGACATATTAACACGCTCTGATTGATGCGATGTGTTCATTAATACTGATAATTCTATTTGCTGATGGACATCAGAAAATAAGCCCCAAAATGAGCCCAATTAAGGTTTAATGTGGTATTTCTATAATATAATGAAATTGATGTTTGATTGATTAATGACATCAATCAAATGCAGTCAATAATTAAGCGCTTTATTCGCATTCGCTCTGTCTGCGTGGAGGTTAGTTCAATTGCGCATTAATTAGGCTTGCCACAGCAGTTTATGAGCTGCCCCACAAGCACAGACACACACACACACGCACACACACATACATACGTGCATGTGTCTTGAGATAATGACTCAAAGCTGATGCTACGCTGAGCATCCTTCGATATTCACACCTTGGGGCATTCTTTAATTGAGCCAAATTGCACATGTGTGTGTGTGTGTGTGTGTGTGTGTGTGTGTGTGTGCTTGTGTTTGTGTTTGTGTCTGTGTCTAAGCTATAATATTCATGCCGTTGGGCAATATTTAAGCATAATTAAGACCTGCGTCTGACTTCTTCATGTGCGCTTGTGCGTGTTTGACTCTCTCTCTCCCTCTCTCTCACTCTCTCTCTCTCTCTCTCTCTCTGTGTGTGTGTGTGTTGCTGTTGGCCTGAGTGTTATGTAATTAAGAACAAGACAAACTTTAATGTTGACCATCTAAATTAATATCAGTTTTAATTTAATCATTTGTAAACGCTTTTTGCCACAGGCGATGCCAACGACAACAGCAGCAGCAACAACAGCAACAACACCAGCAACAGCAACAAAGAGCAGCAGCTACTTGTAACTAAAGTGACATGAGGCCTTAACAACAACAACAACAACAACAGCAGCAGCAGCAGTAGCAGCAGCAACCGCAACAACAACAACAACAACAACAACCAGACGCAACTGTAGAGCACTAAAAAAACCAAATTGCAAACAATTAAAAAAGAAACAAAAACAAAAACAAGCACAACGAAGGATAGATAGCAGCACAGGCCCGGCTCGTAACCAAAAAAGGCAGCATACGTACGAGACACGCCCATGCCACACAGTCAACAGTAATAGCCAAACAACAACAACAACAACAACAATGCCAGCAACTTTTATAGTCAACTGAAAAACTGAACAGCAGCTGAACAGAGCAAACAACACACAAGCATACACGCTGCCACGCCCCCTGCCCTAAACACAACAAGCGCGTGGCTGTGTCTCCAGCTTCAGAAGCGACAAACGGAACACAAAACGGCGATAACAAAAAAAGTATATATATATAAATAATAAAAATAAAACAAAACAAAAAGCAAAAGCAAAAGCAACAAAAAAGTGCGCATTGTTTTTTCATCTTGTCATTCAACGGCCGCAGCACCCAAGTGTCTCTTCCCCCTTCTCTCTCTCTCTGTGTGTGGCAGTGGTGTCAACCGTGTTGTTGTTGTTGTTGTCAGCCATCCAACGCCTTTGGGCACTCAATTAAGCCCAATTCAAGGCAGACGCCACAAAACACACGCAAGTTGAAAGCGACAGCTTCCCACGCCCACGACCACGCCCACGCCCACAACAGAGTCCACGCTAACACCTACGCCCACAGCCACACTGACGGCCAGCAACAGCAACAGCAACAGCAGCAGCAGCAGCAGCAGGAGCAGCAGGAGCAGGAGCAGCAGCAGCTAAGCAGCCTAAGCTTGTGTCAGAAGGTGCTGCAGGTGGACAACGACGAACGTTGGTGGCACGGTGGTGCAAGGTGGTGCACGGTGGTGCTTACGGCCATTGCCAATTGAGTTAATGTGACAATGAAACTGAGCGTCAGCGCGTATCGGGCGCATGCATCCGCACACAAGAAGATCCTCTCCAGCGGCTATCACTCGCAGCTCAACTACGGCAGCACTGGAGCCGCCGCAGCATCCTCCTCCTCATCGTCGGCAGCAGCGGCGGCCACTGCAACGGGCCTCTATACGGTAAGCGTGCATACGCGAGCATACAATAATGAAAGACAACCAAATGAGTTCTATTTAAGCAGAAAGGGGCGGTAAGGCGGTAGGGGCGCAAGGCAGCCACGACTTGCAGAGATCCTGTATTTAATGAATTATTAGAACTGGATCATAAAAAAACCTTGCATAGGCTCTGGCAGTAGAGTCAATGAATGACCTGGAGAAATGGGTGACTAGAAGTTACCCTGTAGTAAGATGGAAATTGGATATTTGTACCCTTCATAGGTGAAACGTATGTAGCAGGCAGAAGTAAGGCGGGTAGACCCCATTAAGTATATATAGATCTTCTCGATCAGGGGGACGAGCTGAGGCGATTTAGCCCTGACCATCTGTCCGCCCGTCTGTCCTTCTGCCCGTGCGTCCTTCTATTCGTCCGTTTGTTTGTCTTTGCGCCTGCCCGTTCGTCCGTCTGCTCGTCTGTCCGCTCGTTCGTCCGTCTGTCCGTCTGTCTGTCCGTCTGTCTGTCCGTCTGTTCGTCTGTCCTTTGGCTTGTCCGTCCGTTTGTTCATCTATTCGTCTGTCCACCAATTCGTCTCTCCATCCGTCTTTCCGCCGTCTGTCCGTCTGTTCATTTGTTCGTTTGTCCGTCCGTCTGTTCGTTTGTCCGCCCGTTCGTCCGTCTGTCCGTCTGTTCGTCTGTCCGTCAGTCCGTCTGTTCGTCTGTCCTTCGGCTTTTCCTGTTCATATGTTCGTCTGTCCGCCCGTTCATCTGTTCGCTTGTCCGTTCGTCTGTTCGCCCGTTCGTCCGTATAAACGCACATATTCCCGAAACAAATAATGCTAGAGACTTGAAATTTTAACTTAAAATTCTCAGCACGAGTTTGTTATCTCTTTTCTTCGATACGCATCTTATTTCTGATCGAGAATAATCGATAAATTGTTTTTTTTTTTTTAATACTTTTTGATCTATTTTGATGAATATAAATGTTTTATAATTTACAAATTCAAATTCAAGTACTAGACTTTTGTCACCATCGAACTGTATCAGGTTATTTTTGGGTGTTACCATTAAATTTGCCAAGGTATATCTTGTTATATGCAAGAGCATTCAAATTGTATAACTCAAATTATTGCTATGCAAATTCGCGAAATACTATGAAAAGTTTTTGACAATTTGATACGGTTTTGGATTTCTAGCTGTCTGCCACATAGTCTCTCTCTGTCTCTCTCTCTCTCTCTCTCTCTTTCAATCTCTTCATTATTATCAGAATTTGGCTGTCACATAAATTTACGGTCGTCGCATATGCCCATCCTTTCTTTGGTCTCTCCTCTCAATTGATGCGTGCCATAATATAAAATGAAAGCATACAAATTTTTGTGGTCCATAATTTTATTTAATGTACATTTTTTGTGGGCCTGTCATTGACTGACTGGGGTCGAGGCGTGGCTGCTGTCTCTCCTTCTCTCCCTCTCTCTCTCGCTCTCTCTATAGGTCTATTGTGTGTGTGAGTATGTGTGGAGTAGAGGAGTTGCCTGATTGCGCGTCTAGTTTTCGACAGTATTAGGGATTTATGTGGGCCTTGGCAGCTCTTTCGTCTGCTTGCCGGATTGCCACTGGGTTAGCGAGCTAAATATTTGCCCGAAAAATGTGCAAATATACACAAACAGAAATTGTTTATTGGTTTCATCAGAATTTGAATGCTTGTCCTGCTCCTGCTCCTGCTGCAGTTCAGCCAGCTCTCAAGTTCAGTTTGAGAAAGTGAGGCCTAAACTTTGTTTGCACTTCTAGGCAAAGTTCTGTTGGCCTTGGCCTTTTGTTGACGTTGCTTAGCTTTGCTGCTGGTTCAACAACTTTGTTGAATTTTTGCCCGTTGTCTTAGATTTCTCCTGCTTTCAAGGCTTCTTTCTCCCAGTAACGCTGTGAACTTCTTAATTGTCTCGGCCCAGGTTGCTTCCATCTCTTTTTGGTGGTCGTCGCGTAATTAACTTTGTTGTCCATTTGACACGATTTTCTGCTTCTCACATTATTTTGGCTTTCGCTTTCTCAGCTTACTTACTCTCAGTTCGCTTTGTTCAAAGAAGCTTAGGCTCATCTCTTTCTAACCTCATTTGCTGCAAACTTTTGCTTTCCTACTTTCCTCATCTCTGGCATATCTTTCTGGTGCTCAGCTCGCTTCTCTACAGCCATTTGATAGGGTATTTGCCATTCGTAGCATTAATATTGATAGATTTCTATTGAAGGCTACATTGTTGGGGCATTGGGGTTACGTTTAATAAAAATGTTTACGAATCGCTGACAGGCAGCAAGGCCATCCATGTGGCTATGATGCGAGTTCGTTTCTCACTTTTTGTTTGTTTGCTGTTTTTTTTTTTTTTCGTTTCTGGTTTATGATACAGGATATTGACGGATATTGCTCGTAATCCCTGTAGTATATGACAGTTTTGAGCATCTCCTCGCATAATTAAATCAATATCAAGCGAGAGAGAGAGACAGAGTGAGAGAGAATGAGAGAGACTTTTAGTTTTTAAACACTCGAAACTTGAGGCCATAAATATTTATGGAATCGACGCTGTGCACACTTTACAGCTGCCCCAAAGCCAAAAGCCACAACGCATTTCAATCAAGTTCTGCGGCATATTTAATTGCCCAGTCCCGAAACATGCTGGCGCCGCGCCTTCTCCGCCTCCGGGCGGCACTCACAAGCGGGGCTTAGGCCGCAGAGCGAAGATTTGCGTTGCCAGCTAATTGGCCGGGCCGAAAACCAATTCCCATGCTGGAATTGTTATGCGGCTGGGCGCCCATTAAAGAGCGCACAGTTTCACAATATCACAATTTCGCCATTTATAATTTACCATGTAGAACATCTTCGTCGCTGCATTTCATCGGCTTGGCAATTAGGCAGACAACTAGTTCCGCCTCTCGGTCTCTCGCCGCAGGAAAAGTTTATTAAATTGTTTTGCGGAATGTTTTGATAAATGTGTTTCCTAATGCTCTGCGTGGAGCGAGAGCTGTTGCAGGAACATTGGCAAATGAAAGGAAACTTTCGCCATTGACAACTCTATGGGCTGGAACTGGAATCTGTTATTGCTGTCATTAAGCGAGATTTCACTGTAATGAAACTTTTCGCAGTGAATGCTGTGCTGTTGCCTGGGAGATTACGATCTTGTCGGGAACAACTGGAATCTGTTATTAACGCTATTAGGAGAGGACTCGCTGAATTGAAACACGCTACAGTGAATACAGCCTAGGAGATTACGATCTTGTCTGGAGCGAATCGAGTCTGTTATGGGTGCTATTAAGGAGCAGAGACTTCTAGACCTTCTAGCAAGTGAATTTGTGCCTCATGGAATGTCAAAGTATTCTTTTAGGAACAAGTGAAATTGAAATGTGCTCAAGAGTTGCTGGCTCAGATTTCTATTAACTTGACTACATTAACTGTACTACTACTGTACTAATGTACTACTAATGTACTACTACTGTACTACTGTACTACTACTGTACTACTGTAATACTACTGTACTACTACTGTACTACTGTAATACTACTGTACTACTACTGTACTACTGTACTACTGTACTGCTGTACTACTGTACTACTACTGTACTACTGTACTACTGTGCTACTACTGTACTGCTGTACTACTGTACTACTACTGTACTACTGTACTACCCTACTACTTCTCTACTCTACTTTAGGAACATGTGGCATTGGTATCTTTTTTCTCAGAGAGAACATATGGAATGCGACTCTTCTCTAGTTTAAAGAGCATCATATAAATGTATATTTTTCTATAAACATATGGGACTCGACTCTTCATCTAGCACTACCAAATCAGTGTAAACCTACAGGTACATGTGGGATTGAATCTCTTTCATGTGATCGCATTGAAGGAATTCCATGGAGAACTTATTTGCTCTTACTCCTTTTCACAATATTTTGAGATATTTTTTGAGCATTTTCTTGTCTCTTGCTTGAATCATATTTATTTTGATGTATTCCTTGAATCGTTTTTTATTTTTATTCCTTATAATTTGCATATAAATTCGTTACGAATTGGCTGCATATAGAGAGTTAAAGACTCTATTAAATTTAACGGAAGATTAATTCTTCTGGGCGAAAGTGAAAAGCGAACATTAGAGAACTGGAGACTTTTAATTGAGAAAATATAGATGTGTAGAAGATGATGTATGTACCAATACATAGACAGTAGATGTCGGCTATAACGGCATTCAAGAGACCGTCGTTATAAACAGAAGACGCTATAACCATATAAGTTTACTCATATAAGTTTGTCTAGGGACCAGACCATATGGACGCTATAAGCGGAATCGCTATAACTGGATACTACTGTATAGTCCAAGAATATATTAATATGAAAAGGGTTTCAATTCCATATATATCTACACCTAGTGAGACAATAGAAGTTGCTGCTCTCATATTAGCTATCACTATATACATATATATATATTGTAGTGAGCATAGCTCAGTTGAGATCTTGCACGAGTATTGTGCAGTCGGTAGAGCTCTGCTGCAACATTTTTAGCTAATTAAATGAGTTTTAGTGCGCATCGTTTGGCACTTGGGCAATTGGAGATTGTTAAGTGAAAG